GGACAGGCTGCCCCATGCGGACCTCACACCCCCTGCAGGGCTGCCTAGCCTCAGACACCCAGCGCCTCCAGGAAACCTTTGGGAAGAAAGGAAGCTTCAGGGTGACTGGGTTTCTCAGCCTCTTAAAGCACACAACTGGGGTACCCATCTCTGGGTTCTCCCTCCCCCCCTCCAGCCCTCTCCCCTCCTTCAAGGCATCTAATGAGTATATTCCCCCAAATATAACACCTTTCTACCTAGCACTGCCCTTCAGGGTAGTTTTTATCTGGTGGCTTTTGGGCCACCCCGACAGATCCTCTGTGAGAAAAGGGGGACCTAGCTGGGCTTGGGGGGATCCGTCGGTCCTTACAGTGCTGCGTTCCTCCGGTCACGCTGCCATCTCAGAGATCACCCCACACTTGATGAAATTCCAGGAGGGGGTCTGGAAATGGTGACAGGCAGAAGGTGACAGCACACAGCTGGCACTGATGCCTCCCAGCACCACCCCTCCATCCACTGATGGAGTTCCTGTGGGGATTTATTTCAGGACACCCCAAGCCCCAAGGCTAAGGAGGGGAAACGGGCCAGAATACGTGGCACCTTTGAGAGGGGGGCTTCCAAGGTGCTGAGTGTGCCTTAGTTAGCTGTTCGCTCCTAGGTGAGCCTCTTCCAGCTCAGGTGCCCCTTGCCCAGGGTGTTTCTGGTCCTCCCCAGCCTCTTAGTGCCCACGGGTGGGTCTCCAAAAGGACTTGCCCCATGCCCTCTACACCTGTGTCTTGCACTGGCTCCACTGGCAGTGTAGTGAGCTCAGGCCTGGTTGGGGCTGCAGTTTCTAGAACCGGTGAATCTTTACTATGAAAATGCTAAGACGTGACCTGGTGATCAGGGGACCCTGAGGCATCCAGCGGGGCGGGGGCTTTGAGGGTCCCAGTGGAGATGGGCATGAGGTGACCACTGGAGTCTAAGCCCCCTTCGCTTTCTGCCTGCTCTATTCCTCCTTCTACCTTACGGAAGCATTCATTCCCAGCAGTGGGCCCAATAAAGTCCCCTACAGCCACGGGCCCTCCAACCCTGCCTGCTGCGCACTGCAGTTCCAGCATCGGAGGCTGTGCCCACTCCCGCCATCGTCATTGCCTGGTGTGTCCCGGGTAGAGGGGCTCCTGGGTCAGCCGTTACCTGCGCAGGGCTTGCCGTACAGGCACCAACGAGGCATTATTTGTTAGAAGAGCATTGGCTGCACAGAGAAGGGACTGATAAGTGGCTCTTGAAAGTCAAAGGAGAGCTTAACAGAAGGCGGAAGAATATCCCAAGTGGAGGGAACAGCAAATACACAAGTGCCCAGGCCTAAAAGAGCATGTTGTATGTACACCAGAGAAAAGCGGCTGAGTGTTAAGTGGAGACAGGCCCGGGAAGGCTCTGGGCACTGTGATGGTGGCAGCAGCCCCAGCCATGGGCCTCTCACCTCACAGGGCTGGCAGCCAGCAGGCCTGGGCAGCAGAGCTTCATGAGGCCTCGTGAAAAGGATTCACTTTGCAGCAAGAGTGAGGCTGGGGAACGTAAAATGAACTCACGTTAACCAGGCTGCTGGAATGATCAACACTATGAAGGTTGCGGCCTAAGGAAAGTCTCCGTTGTTCTGGCCAGCCTGGGAACCTACACTTTTTTTAACTATTCAGTCCTGTGCAGGTGCCTGGATAGACATGTGGACCCCCCAGGTAGCCCTCTGGATACCCCATGAAGGACTCGGGCATCCGGGCCACTTGGCATCCATCATCCACCCCTCCTGGTGCCCACCTTCCAGACTGCCTGACATCTGATTGATAACCACCCTGGACCAACCCTAGGGTTAAGAATGCAGAACTGGTCATTCTCAAGAATGTACAGTAAAACCTTGAATTGCGAGTAACATGGTTTGCGAGTGTTCCGCAAGACGAGTAAACATTTCTAATACATTTTAACTTGGTAAACGAGCGATGTCTTGCAAGTTTGTTTCCGAAACAAATTATGCTTGCAAACCAAGATATTACTGTTCTTTCTACTCTAAGAACTCTTAACTTTCTTTTTTCAAATGCTTCTAGGGTTTTGCCTAGCTGTGTTCCCAGTTTGCAAACTCCAAAAGACACTTTAATAAGTCATTTATTTCTAGCAAAGCTGCTCCATTTAGGCTTTAGGCTTGATTTATTAAGTTTTTTAAAAGATTTTATTGGGGAATTGGGGAAGGGGAACAGCCAAGTCATTGTCCTTCAAACTTAGTTGTGGCCAGTGCAGCTAGCTCAGCTCCAAGTCCAGTTGCCATCCAGCCTCCCATCGGCAGCTCGCCGCTCAGCTCAAGGTGCTGTGTTCAATCTTAGTTGCAGGTGGGCGTAGCCCACCACCCCATGCAGGAGTCAAACTGGCAGCCTTGTTGTTAAGAACGCACTCTCTATCCCCTGAGCCACCCGGGCGGCAGCTCGGCTCAAGATGATGAGTTCAGCCTTTAGTTGCAGGCAGGCGTAGCCCACCAGCTTGAATAGGCAACCTTCTTGTTAAGAGCACATGTTCTCACCAGCTGAGCCATCCCGCCACCTGTTGGCAGCTCAGCTTGGGTGCAGCTCACTAGCCCACGTGGAAATTGAACGGGTGACCCTGTTGATCAGCGCTCGCGCTCAACCAACTGAGCCACTCTGCCGGCCCCTATGTATTGGGTTGTCGGGAAAGTCATGACGTATTTTGTCTGTTTTTTAAAGGTCATTTATTTATATAAAGAACAAAGATCAATCAATGATATATTGCCCATTTTGTTCAATAACCTTTTGCCATCTTTCAGTGAGCTTCATAATTCCTTGTTCATAGAAGAATCTATCTTTATTTGCAAAAAACTGAGCAAGGTGCTGATTTACAGCCTCATCTGAATTGAACG